GCCTACCTCTAACCTACCGCTACTGGGCCTCTAAAAATGCCAACTTTTTGTCTTCTTCTGCTCGGCCTCCAGTACCCGACACTTCTACCACTACTTGAGTGGTACCGGCCTACCTGCTACTTGAGTGTTTTTCCTGCTGCTCTAAGTGTCGCGGGCCTGCCCCCGCTACTTGAGTTGTTTCCCTGCTGCAACCCTCAAAGTCATGGCCACAGGTTAGTACCGGCCCTGCGGGGCCCTTCAACCAACAAGTACCCTTGCGGGTCACACACACACTCAGCCGACAAGCACTCAGACAGGCACGCAACTCAGCAGGCATGCAAACACACACAGACTTGGAAACCTCTGTGTTTTGGCGGGTCATTACACACAAAAAAAAAGGTACTAAACAGTACCAAACTTAGGACATTTGTAATAAACAGTACTAAACACAAATGAAGTCCGTGTAATGAACACAATCAACGGGACTTGTGAGTAAGGGGATGAAATTTAGTACTACTGTCTCTCACTATTCACAACTTGACAGCTTCATACTGTCACAGACATTCGCAAAGGCTCACACAACACTAGAAAGTTGAAACCAGTTCTCAACAGACCAATCCCAGGACACTTCAGAAAAGAGTTCGAAAATCAGAAAGATACAGAACTTTAAACTATGAAGGTAGACTTCTTTCTAATCCATATTCATATGAAAAATGTTTAAAATGAAAATTTAAACTGTCATCTTGTCAAGATATTCAGATCTGCGTAAGAACAGATCTGAGATCTGGCCAGGACCAGATCTAAGACGGGATCTCAGATCTGACCAAAATCATCTCTCTCTCTCTCTCTCTCTCTCTCTCTCTCTTGGTTGATGTTCTGTGGTGCTTTGCAGCCAGTGCTCCATCTTCGGAATCGGACTCATCCTCCTCCGATGAGCTACCCGTAGTACGACAGCAGAGGGAGCTGTTGGAGGCGTCTGGCGGCGTCTGGTAGGCTCTGAAACGGGCAAAAAATACTGGGGCCATTTTTTGGGGGCGGCCTAGGACCTGAAAAACATCCTAGACCCCCCCCCAAAAAAAAATCGAAATTTTCAAAATTGGGCCCAATCCAGACCTAGCGGACCGGACACTGGACCCAAACCCAGACCGGACTGTCTGGATTCCGTTCCAGACGTCCGGCCGGTTGCCATGGTTTGAATCCTGAGTAAATCAGATGAATACCATAATGTTAGGGGCTAGGCGGACTTTCCTGCGAAAGAACGAAAAAGGAGACGCTATAACTTAGTCGATCACTTATTTTCGCCCCTGCCCAGATTTCTAGAAAATTCCTCCTTTTTTCTTTTGCTGCAATGACCCACACAGCTTCGCTCCCAGATTTTCTGCTGTTTTTCTGAGAAAATGCTACAATAATGTTACGGGCTACGCCCTTTTTCTGGAAAAGAACTAAAAAAGTAGAGGTTATAAGTTAATTGAATTTTCTTTTTTTTTTAAATTTGGACCATTTCTCGATTTATGCGTGTCATCCTTGCGCAGGGGCCATGCTAATCTTCTCTGTATCGTTCCAATTTTAACGGATGTGCCGAAGGACTATAAGTTAATTGAACTTAATTCTTTGTTTGTTATTATTTTTTCAATTTTTGGCAAACTTTTGCTGCATGACCTGGACATTTGCAGTCTGAGATTTTCTGCATTTTTTCTGAGAAAAATGATGACTGCTGGGCCGATTCGCTGACACTTTCGAGCCTGTGTCAGTTTCGCTGTGCTGTCTGCGTGTACGGCAGTGTGTACCTGATGCTTGCTGAGCCTGAGTGTGTGCCCGTGTCTCAGCTCTGTTGTCTTTGCTGTGAACTGTTTCTTGAGAGGGGTT